GTGCTTATTTTGAATTGCCAGCTTTCGCGACATCAACCTCTTTGCTTCACTTTCTTCATCTTTCTTTTCCGCCCAATTATGCTTCCTAACGGGTTGACAGATTTGGATTTCTCGCTGATACGGTCGATGAGACTACCGTGATCCTCATCCAACTGCTCTTTTCTCTTCTTTGCCGGTCTTGACTGCTCCGAGTCCGTGTCCCTTTGGGCACCCTTTCGTCTCGGTACTGATATTCTTTCATGAGATTCATTACCTTCTCTGACTGGTCGGGAATTGCCCTGGAAAAGAAGGATGAGCAAAGGTGCTATGCAACGGTTAGGACTTACAGGTCTGGGTCCACCTCTTTCTTCCCTCTTCTTTACCACCAAACTATTTTCAATTGAAAACTCCACGATTAGAGTTCGCTTTGAGACTTTATCTTCTTTTTCTTCCATCGTGGACAGCAGATCCTTGATTCGCCTTACACGGCTCGTATCTTCTTCAGTTTTCTCGGGTTTCTTCTCCAGACCTGACACTGTATCGTTCAGTTCTTCGTGCCACCATTCCTTGAATACAGGGTTGACGTCAGGATTGTTGTTTGCCCATCGGAGAACTTTGAGAGCGTCGGAGTGATGTTCAAGTTCAAGGAACCCGTATCCTTTACTCTTGCCTTTTCCAGTTACCGCGTCAACACGATCGGCAACTCGTATAACCTTGGCCTGCTTGACCCTTCCCGGGGCACCCCGTCTCGTCTTTGCTCTTTTCGCGTCTTTCGTCTCCCTTTCAGGAAGCTTCACTTCTCCTCCCATCAGAGAGTCGACAATAGGAGCATTGTCGTCCAGTTCATCTGCGTTCAGACCTTCTCTGTCACCTTCTTCGACCTCTTTATCAAACTGTTGGATAGCATGTAATGCAAGTCTCTTGAGTGATCGTTCGGAGACAAACGTAGGTATTTGTCGAATACTAAGGCGGGTCTTTGAGACGAAGAGGGAGGGATTTGTGCGGAGAAGAGCACGTCGTTGGTTATAAGAGTTGATGCGCTTTTCCAACTCGACAGGAGGAATAGTGGAGGCAGCAGGGGAGTTGGGGAATATGACTGAGAAGATGTATAAGCTAGGTATCAAGACATAATTTAGATCACAATCACTTACCACCTTCTCGCATCAGGTACATATTTCGCTTATCGGCCTTTTCACGCATCTTGACTCCGGCATCACGTAGAGTGTTCGCTGTTTCTCGTGTTACAGCACGGACCACATCTAGTGTTCGGCCATGGAGCACTAGACTTTTGGCGAGGGAGGAAGTTGGATCTGGTGTGAGAAGAGAAGGAGCACTGAATGGATTCTTCAACGATATACCCTGTTATAATAACATTCTTAGTTACTTTTAATAGCAGAAGAG